TAAGCTTTAAGCCGTAAGAAATTTACCAATTACAGTCGAATCCGAGGGGAATAATCGACTGTGATTCGTCCATTTCTTATGGCTTAAAGCGGGGAGCACAGACTTTTGCATAACGCATAACATGTAATGCATAAGAAATTCAATCAATCAGAATTCTTTATTTCATGGAAAGGAAGGAAACGAACGCTTTGATTGGTACATTTTCTTATGCATTACGTGTTATGCGTTATGCAAGAGTCTGTGCTCCCCGCTTAAGGCTTAAAACCCTATTGTAGATCCGGGGTAATGGAACGTTTCCACTGAGCGCGTCGCGTCGTACGTCCGCTGTTCGCGTCACGAGTTAACCAATCAAAACATCCCACTTTGATTGCGTTCGGAAACGTCGCTCGGATGCCTCTGATGCCTCGGATTCATCATCTGTCCTCGTTTAACATTTAGGGCCGATTGTTCCAACTTTTTGGTAAAGTTTACCTGTTAGGTAAGTAGCAAGATTCTCCAATTACGTGTGCGGATTGCCAGATTTACTTAACAGGTAAGTAAATTTTACCAAAAGATGGAACAATCGGTCCTGAACAGTTGAGTGAACGTTCGTTGATATTGATGTATTCTTCTAGATCTAAAATTCTGATTGGATGAGCTAAAAGAATACACCAATCATAGCGAGCGCTCACTCAACTGTTGAGTCCGCTGAATGCGCCCATTGAGTGCATTCAGTACCACTCACTGAGCGCTTAGTGAGCTCTTGTATCTGTTTGGTCTATATTTTTAATTCTAACGGAATATGCCAATAAGATGCAAGCGCTCATTGAGCGGTTGTAGTACTGAATGCACATTGGCTGCGTTCAGCAGAAAAAGCAGCTTTGGAACAGTTGTAAAATTCTTTAATATGATTGATCTTGCCCTTAGTTCCTCATTGGATCTAAATGTATAAACCAATCATATTCAAGAATTTTACAACAGTTGCAAAGCTGTTTTCTCTGCTGAACGCAGCCAATGTGTCTGCAGACTTATGCCCGTTCCCATCAATGTAGATTAACTTTAATCTCGGTTCAATCAACTCTTCATCTTTTTTAGTTTTAAAGATTAGAATAAGATAAAGAGTAAGTTGAACCGATTAAAGTTAATCTACATTGGTGGAAACGGGCATTAATAGGTTTGTTCTTTTTAACTGAACTTTTGCATCAGTTCGTCTCTTTTCCTCTTCTTTCTTCTGGGGACAAGCGATTGATTCTTTCTTAAGAACCCATAAATAAAAGCCAATCGCTCGATGAATAAACTGCATTCCAAAACCCATCGAAAGAAAAGTGTCACAACCTTTTAAGCTCCGACTGTACACATACTGATGATGATTCAGTATAAGGTTAAAGTCAAAACGTTCATATATTAATAATGTTCCCGAGAATGGATTGAAATAAATTAATATTTCATTTTAATTTATCTGAGTTCGCACTTTAGAACCCGCAGCTAGATTGAAATGAATCGAAATGAATTGATATCTAAGGGCATAAATTCGTTTCTGTTCATAAACATTTATAATTCTTTCTTTATAAATAGAACAGTATTTTTATATTCATTTTGATCGAAACAGGAATATTCTTATTCAATACTGTACTCGAATATAAATTCTGGGCTTATATATTTTCATCATAGCATTTTTTATTTAAACAAAAGTGTGTATTTGCATAATTTTTAATCTGTGATGTATTCACAGTTCACAAATTAACTATGTTGAAATTTTTTTTTATCTGATTCATGAATTCAAACGAGACTGCTTTTATTCATAATTTTGGGATGTATTCAGGATTAATTTATTTACGACATATTATATGACTAATTTAGACTACATTACGTAACTACATTACGACTAATGTAGAACTAGCTTTATGCGCGCATTGGAAAAACGGACCGATTTCGAAGCATTGCGCAGCAGTATTGCAGTCTACGCGCTTCATGCGCAATTCGGAACGCACCCTAACAAACCTTATATATCTAGGGCTACAGTCTACTTGATGCTACAAATGCTTCGAAGCATTTTATGGTTGTGTTTCGATAGTTGTGTCGAAAATTTTCTTTTTAGTTACAAGGTTGGTAGCGCTGTAACTAACATAGCTGTGTCTCGTAAGTCCGGATCTACAATAGGTTTTAAGACTTAAGCCATAAGAAATTGACCAATTACAGTGGAATCCGAGGGGAATAATCGACTGTGATTCCCCCATTTATTAAGGTTTAAAACCCTATTGTAGATCCGGGGTAAAGGCTATCACACGTATAAAAATTTTAGTCGTAATCGTAAAGCCGTAAGCAAATCGGCCAATCACAGTCGAGTGTTTAAAAACTCGAGATCTCAATTTTGATTGTGATTGGTCGATTTGTTTGCGACTTACGATTCCCACTAAAATTTTTGTACGTGTGATGGCCTTTTGCATTTGCTTTATCGGCTTGTCCAGAAAAGAGGTTAATTTTTACTTTTATAATATATAGTTGATTATTTATTATTATACATATTTATTGAAATATGATTTAAGCAATATGAAACGAATATTGGACTGATGAGAATAAATTTAATTAAATAAAGGAATCCTATATTCGGCCATGCAATATGTAGAATCAGAATGTTATAAATTCACAAAGAATTATGTATTTAATATTAAGATCCGCTTTGATCGAATATAGGATAAAGTAAATGCAAACTACGGTGTCAGCTGATCTCTTACGGAACACAGCTATGTTAGTTACAGCGCTACCAACCTTGTAACTAAAAAGAAAATTTTCGACACAGCTATCGAAACACAACCTTTGATTGGTCAATTAGTAAAATTCTTTCTTCCGATTGGTCAATCAAACGTTTCGAAGTATTTGAAGCTCCCAGTGGACCGCACCCTAGGACTCTAGTGCAGTCTAGGGGTGATATTTTATTTGTGCGGTTTTGTCGGACGACAAATTTTTCAAGTCTGTTGATTGGCCACAAGATAGAGAGATCCGAGGCCCTCTCTGTCTTCTACACATTTGTCGTACATATGATGAAAACGCACAAATG